CCCTGTAAGTGTCTCTCATTCTAACTTGCATCAATTTGATTTATCAGAAAATTTATTGCGCAGGATCTGCTATTATGTTATGGTAACGTTGATTCTTGTGCAGTTCTAAATCGTAAGAAATAAACATACACAGTATATTTTTACAAACAAAGTAATGAAAGAAAAAGTAGTCGAAGCACCCACAATGATAATGTAATTATTTTTTACGTGTCCCTTAATAAGGGTCTTACTGTACTATCATTGTAACAGTACACATATAATATTTTTCTGTCTTGTTTTCGAGTATGCGTACAACGTCTCAGCGCAATCTCGCGGACATATTTTTGTGTTATACTTTGATTAATCATTTAAATTTCATTATTAAATTTTTTCTTAATAAAAATAAGATATCCATTTTAAAATAAAGCATTACAAATGTTAAAAATATAATTAGTGAAATTTAAATTATTAAATTTATTCTTAAGATACAGGATACAAGTTATAATATATTTCCTTGGCGCCAAGGGTGTCATGAGATATAATTTAAACTGAATATAAGTTATTACTAAACTAAGCTAAATGGAATAAGGGACTTTATTAAAACTATAATCTAATACATCTAGATGACCTTAACTCTACCGGTGCTACTCTCCCCTTACCTTGTTTTGAGGAAAGTGGACGAGGATCCACCCTCCCCATCACAACAGCAGCCTCGTACCTAGCAAAAGGAATTCTCTTGTACCTTGAGGACGGTTCCTTTGGAACCCGAGTCCTTGGAACTCGAATCCTAGGATTTTCAAGAGCCTCCTCTCCCAAAAACTCGATTCTCCTTTGCCGCTCTTCGTGGCGCAGGTGACGCCTCGCAGTTTGCCTCAGCTTCTTGTCAGCTCTGCAAACTCCAAGCCATTTTTGTGATACTTGTGCTACATTCAACAAGGACTCAGGATCCAACTTGCGTAAAATTAGCTGCGATACCTCGGGTGGAAGTTCAGAAATGAAATCCACCTTGGCAGGTTGTAGCAGTCCAATGACGCGAAGGAAGGATCTGAAGAACTCCATGTTGCTTGTATTAGCAGAAGTGCCTGAATGACTGCTCTCTGAAAAATTCGGGGTTTATATATCCCCCGTTACGGTTCGGTGACCGTTCCGGTCGAGTGACTCGGCCAATCATGTGCGAGTACATATGTACGTACATATGTACTGGGCGGAGCTAACGGTACTTACATATTTACGGTCCGTTGATTATATAACAGTAAATTATTCTAGAAATTACAAGTACAATTTGAAAACATCTATGTAGAAATTTTATTATTAATATTATGGCAACGCGTAAATCTCCATATGTCTTTCCCAATGTAACTTATACATCAATTGCAAATTTGTCTTATTTAAAGAAAAGTGGTGGTCAAAAGAAAGGATCTCCATCACATATTGTATCAATTGGCAGGAAAATATCAATGATAACTTTTCCGCAAATAAATGCTTTTAAAAGCACACTGGTTTTTGTAATGAGCAATGAGCAACAGTAAATGGTGGAGTGATTAATTTCAAAAGTTGTAAGCATTTTAAGAGTTTCATTGCTACATGCATTTTGAAATTTATATATTAGCGCGCACGAGCTGGAAACAGTGCCGCTGTTGCCATCTAGCAGTCAAATGTCGTATTATTGGAACGAAGACATATGCGCGTGCTAAATGTACCATGCAAGTTTGCTGGAATCATGCATTAAACGCGCGTGAAGAAAACTAAAATATAGTTTCAAAAGTGTGTAGTTCACCCTACTTGTCTGAGAGATGCCGCCAGTTGTCCGTTTCCATGAAAATTCAATTAATATTGATTTTATGGATTAATATAGTTGATTTTATTAGTATAATTAATTATAAGATGAATCGAATTATATCGAAATAATTAACTTCGAATTTTTATAACTTTACTAAGCTATTATCAATTTTTAACCACTCTTAGGATAACTCTGGTTAGCCTAAGAGCAAAGAGTAGATATAACTCTAAGTAGATGTAAAGAGTAGGTACACTCTGTGGTTCTGGAGCTATCAGCTGACTTCTTTTTTGTTTCCCATTTTTTCTAGGGAATCCAGATTTGTACTAGAGTCAAAAAGTCTAAAGGAATGTAAATTCCTTCGCTTACTGTAGTTTACATAAAATGTTTACTCTATAATTGGTCTATGTAGAAATTTTATTATTAATATTATGTCAATGCGTAAATCTCCATAATTCTTTCCCAATGTAACTTATACATCAACTGTAAATTTGTTTTACCTAAAGAAAAGTGGTGGTCAAAAGAAAGGATCTCCATCAAATGTTATATTAATTGGCAGGAAAATATTAATAGTAACTTTTTCCCAAATAAATGCTTTTAAAAGCAAGCTGGTTTTTATAATGAGCAATGAGCAACAGTTAATAGTGAAGTGATTAATATAATTCTACACAGAACAAATTGTATCTGAATTTAATACTGCTGTTTCAAACTTCTAGTTAGCGAGATGGTAGTTTATATTTATTAATAGGGGATGAAAAAGAAGAGTCCTCAAGGTAATCGCATAATTTATATTTGTATATACAGTCACTTTACAACGCGTACTTTTGTTATACAGTATAGCTCACGAATACTTTAGGTCAGCGAACGGCGAAGTGGTCGCAGTTAAAGACGGTATCAAAGTAAAAAAAAAACTAATTCAGATGATCCAGTCCAGTCGTGTGAGTGTTCTTCGCCAAGAAACAAACGACATTGAACAATGTTGTACAAAGAAAGTTTCGAAAATTCATTTTCCTTATCGATCATTAAGAACAATCGCTTCTCCCCTTTTACTATATTTCGCAGGGTTACAGAAGTCAAGGGAAGTCGAAGATTAAACGTCAAAAACACGAGAGCTATCTATATTGGCAGTAATCATCAGGCATGGATTGCAATTTCTTTCTTTTGCTCCTCTGTATTCTTATCGGCACCGTGACGATTAAAATTGGTGCTTTCAAACAATGTAAATTATTGTTAGCTTCACACTTTCACTGCGTTTTCTTAATTCATTTCGTATTCCATAGAATACAATGCATCGCAGTATTAATCATGTGCAAGCCTTACAGTATACTCTCTTTATATTGCCATCTTCACTGATTTTCAGTGATGGTGCAAAATTCGTGTACCATCGATATCAATGAAAAAACTGATTAAGTCTATCGCCGAATTCAAGAATCTTTTACTTTTACACTCTGTGGCGATATAACGGGAATTTACTGTACATATTTAACTATCGAACACACTTGCGATTCATCGATGCTCTTTCACGAACGAAATATGCGACTAGAATGGATAATTAGAATAAATATTATTATGGGAAATAAAAATTAACTGTATTTTTGTTTTTTATTATGCCCTTCCGAATATTTATTATATTCAGTTGGGAGTTGTTTAATTTTCATTCTAAACGTAAAATAGATCATTTTTTTACTACAAATGTAATTACATAAATCATAATTTTGAGTGAGCATTTAGACCTTATATAAATTTTAAAGAATTAAAAAATTTTAAATGAAACGTAATTTAACATCTTAAATTCAGAAATAATTATTATATAATTTTGTCGACGCATAAAATAAAAAGAATAGAAAGATAGAAGGTAGACAGTATAAAATTATTCTTTTTTTTTAAAGAATATTTTTTCGTGAAAGTTACACCGACGTATCAAAAGACACGTTTCGTTCATTTTAATGAAACATTTCTTCACCGTCCGATTAGAGACACGTCACTGGCCACAGAACTTCGTTTCGATATGTGTAAACGCGATATTCGTTGGAAGAATACAAAGGATCACATTTCAAGAGAAAAGATATGTGACGATATTGCTCACGATCATTTCAATTCTCGCACGTTAACAACGAGGAACGATTTCCGATTGTTCGAGAACGAAAATATGTTTCAACATTCTCAGACAGATATGACGAAGATATGATTGCTTTGAAACGTTCAACAATATTACAGAGAAAAAGCGATTCTTTTATCAAAAGTTCGTGTAAACGTGCCTCCGAAACGAACGAACGTAACGAAGAAAAACGATTCGTTAACAAATGCTCGGCAACGGAGTCGAAGATTAAAGACGTTCGCGTGTTTCTGCTGTTCTATCCATCTTTCACTTTTGTCACAATCTTCCCATAAATTCATAATTAAATTCATAATTTTGTAACTCCCCTTCAGTAAACAGTGAAATTATCACTTTCCATAGTTCAGTTTGAAGTATGTATAATTCAAAGTTCGAGGCATGTATAATTTAAAGTTTGAAGTGTGCATAATTCAAAGTTTGAAGTTTGTACAATTTAAAATGTGAAGGTTGTACAATTGAAACTTTGAAGTACACACAATTCAAAGTTTGAAATTTGCAAATATTCAGATTCATTTTAGGAATCTATACTCTCAAATTTTCTAAACATTTCCAAATGTGAAGAACATTTAAGTTTTCTAGTTATGAAGAAATTTTCAAGCCTTTCAAAGTGATCTTTCAATATTACCAGCTGCTAGAACTTACGGTAATAAAATGGCGTCGAGTGAGTGTAAATGTCACAGAAACACGCGAATATCCGGAGCGTCGAACATTTCCAGACAGAAATGATCGTATATACAGGTCGAATTTGATACGTATAAAAAACTGATACACGTCAAAGATATGTGTCGTGTTCGCTCTTACACTCTACAATTACGTACGCAAATATAGTGCATTCAAAAACGATCTTAGAATTACCAGTTTCCTTGTCGGTGCTTATCCGCTAACAATTGTTCGTTCTTTTTCCCTTTTCTTACAAACGAAATGTTTAGAGATTGCCGAGCGACGCTGGAAACGTTCGACGAAACGAGTCGAGAAGAATTGTTCGATAAATCGACGGTCGTTTTCAACGATCGATGAACTTAGGCTTCCGGCTTTAGACGCTCGGTTCGATCATTAAACGGTGATTAATCGACTGACGTGGGAAAGGGGAGGGAAGAACACGTCGACGCAGACATCTTCGTTTTTACGAACGACGGGCAAAAATGAAATCGTCGAGAGAGGCTGATTCGATGAATCATTTTACGATTAATTAGGTCGTTTCTGGCGATTTAGGTCCAGTTTATGTAGCCGCACGTTACACATTAAAACGATAATAACTCGTGAATTAGCGCGTGTTAGTTATATATTTACAAGTAGTGTAACCATTCTCGTATGTTTCCCTCACGCATACGTCAGCTTTCATTCATACTTTGATCATTCGATTACATACAAGCGGTACATTGTATAATAATATTCATTACGTGGTTCGAATCGTTTCTTTCGTCGAATCGAATATTTCGAAGCTTTATAGTAATTCGCCACACGAACATTGTCCAACAAATACTTTCTTCAAACATTTTATTCTTTTTGCATTTTATACGCTGATCAATTTGCAAACTGTTTCGCTCCGTTCTTGAAAACTTTCTTATAACAATTTTTCTTATTTATAAATTAAACAAATTATGTGACTATAAAAGACATATAACTTTCGAGTAATTAAAATACGACAAACTATTGCAAATGTCCTGAAGACAATATTAATAATGTGAAGTACCAAATTGTTGTATTAAAACATAGAATGTTGCGATTATCAGTGACCGTTTTTCGAAACTTAATATAATTAAATAATTAAAAAAAATGTTAAGTAGTTGCAATATTGGATAAGCAATTAAAATTGATTTTTCAAGAGTATCTACCATCGAACTCTGGTAGAAAAATCATAAAAAATGAATTTTAAAAATGAAATTTCTTAACGATTAATAAAGTCGAGAAAACATTTTGCAGATTCGTATACAGCGTTTAAATCTCTCTAAGAAATAGATTGTTGAACAGTGTTATCGTGTCAAGGAAACGATTCGTCGTTGCTCTCCGCCTTTTAATGCATGCACGCCTCTGTTCCCTTCCAGTTAGAATCCATTTACATTCTGAATCGATCGCAGTGGAACCCTGTATGCATATATATAGAAGAAATTCGTCGTTACGCTCGTAAATGATGCTTTAGACTTTTCACGCTGAAGCTATTCGCGCAAAAATGTGTCACGGATTGTCGAAGGGAAATGGAGTGTCTTCGAGGCGAGCTCGATGCATTCTGTACCGGCTCGAAATGTAACATGATCGTTGACCGACGATACGCTTGATCGTGGTTTCTACATAGAATTTAATTCGCACTGGTGTCCATTACATGGAATGTAATTTGCATAATATCGTGTATACATATCGTTTGCGCATCTTGTAAAAAGCCTTGCTTGTCTAGAAACAACGTTGTACGGTGTGATCTTCAAATATAGTTTTGCATGTTTGTGTGTTTGTAGGAATAGGCGGGTAATATGGCGAGCTACATCGAGTCGAGTTCGGAAAAATTTGGACGAAATCGGAGGATGAACGTTTCTTTTTAATTTTGAAGATACTTTCTGATTTCAAAAATGTTTCGAGTTCATAAGTTACCGAATTTCTATATTTTTACACCTGGATTTATCATTAACTAAATTTTCAAATCCCAAAGACTCGATATTCTAAATTTTCTAGTACATAGTTTCCAAATCTTTAAACATATTTTCAAACATCACAATTTCAAGGTTCTTCAATCCTCAAGTATTCTACTTTCCAATCTTTTATATTCCCAAACTACTAAATTCATAAAGTTTCAAATTCATCAATAGCAGAATTGTTCAATTTTTAAATATTCAAATTTCTAGATATCACAATCTGACATTTCCAAGATCTCATATTTCTAAAAAAAAATTCCAAAGTTTTCAAGCTTCCTAATCCCTAAATTTCCATATTTCTAAGCTTCGAAATTTTCGAAATCGCAATCATGCAAAAATATTCCGAGTAGTCATACAAAAATTTTCGAGATCTTTGCCGATCGTTCCCAAATATTCCCGAAGTCGACTCGATCGTAACCTCGTGTTCCCGTAAATCCCTATCATCTATATGTTCGCGAGTGTACATGTATATATAATTTCTTTTAGTTCATCTTCGTCTTCATCGTTTGTCTACTGGCATAAAATCAACAAATCCTTTAAAATACATTCTTCTATTCGGATAATCCACGATCATTAAATCTCTCTACCGAAACACTCAAACATAACACCGATGATTTATCGTTTCGTCGTTTCTCTTTCATATCGTTTCATATTGTTTTTTTATTTGTTAACTATTCAACACCTGTGACTCCGTCTTCGTTCATCGTCTTAAATCAGTCTTGGGCATCGTTAAACATTTATTTAGCTGTGCTCCGATATACCGTAACTTACCGAGTAACGTCTAACGATTATCCATTTAATTATCGCCTCTGGCCTTCTCCCCTACCCCCTCCTCTTCCACATTGATTACCTTATCAAATAGAAGTCTTAACATTTTCCCCCCTGTTAATATACGTACACGCGTTTAATCATTAATCTCGGTCACCTTAAAAATATATTATTGTCCTTAGATGAGAACGTACGCTGTTTACGCGATGATTCGCGCGCTCGTCTCCTCTTCCTCTGTTCCTATGCTATTCCGAAACGAAAATAAATATACGAGTTAGCTTGCTACGTTTATTGAATCCGAGGTTTTATTTATATCCCTTCTGCATGGCACGATCATCGTTTTCTTCTTCTCTTCTTTCTACCCTCGCACAACTTTGGCAGGAATCACGTGTACTCGAGCAGAGTTCACATCTGACTCCGTTCGCGGTCACGTGTCATTCGTTTCGAACACCAAAGATCCGTTGCTCGTCCGCTGCCATGAGTTTTTAGGCTGATGCTAACTCGTCGAGGACAGAAGCGTCGTCCGTTCGACGAGCGTGGCCAGAGGCGACGTCACGCTGACAATCGTCGTTCCCTGGATTCGTTATCATACATCGTTGTCGTGACAGTACTCTATTTTCCGCCTGGCTAAGTGAAGACGACGTTTGTCCACCACGAAGTCCGACACGCACCCTTTGATGCCACGGTAACCCAGTTTCCCGCCGACGAACAGCTTGCCATTCGTTGTCAGAAGACTCGTCTCCGTCGATTTCTTCACCGGGGCCAAATCGTCGATCTGTATCGTCAACGCTCTTCGTCTTCTCGACGCTTTTATGTGATGGAAGAAACCGTCGTCCACTCGTTCCTGAAACATTTCAATTTTCAATCTTCTACACATACGACCACCGAATTCTAACTTTATTACTATAATTTCAACTATCATGTTAACTCATCTAGGATATTTAATTTAATTAGTACGAAAGTTTGCATAAAGATCTAGCTTTTTTCAGGCTTGAAACACGATTCAACTTTGATAATGCACTAATGGATATTTCCTTTCCAACCACTATTTAAGCTATCTATAATCACCTCGTGAATTGTTAAATATCAGTCAACTGAATAAATAAAACCATGTGTGGTGCAAACACAAATGACATAAATAAGTAATGAATTGAAATCATTAAACTTGCAATGGATTCAACTAATGCAGCTAATGTACCATAAATTATACAATATAATTTCTCATTTTATTATCAGTTTCTTATTCGGTTGTATTTAACTCCTTGCCGTACAATTTATTTGTCAGGTGCGTCAGTCTAAACTATTCATAGCTATAATGTTTAAACAAACAATAAAAATTAAAATGTGAATATTAAAAATTTTAGTAAGATTTGTTATATTTCAGCTGTGAATGCATCATGACTCGTCAAAGTACGACAAGGGGTGCCACATATAAATATAATTTTTAACAAAGATACAAACCCCGCTTCTCAGCGATATCTGCTCATTTTTGCTTTTGTACGTAAGAACCACTTCACCACCATGCAACGATAGAATAAGATGTTCGATCTTTCCTCTTCCGATCCAAGCAATCAACCCTTCCGAATGCGTTGTCCTCAGGCGCAGTTCAAACTTGTTCGACTGTTGACCTTTCCGCCTAAAACATCGTTTTATATTATTTCTGTTTGATATTCCAATTTTTCGACACTGAGCTACGGTGCTATAGGACGTGACAACACAGGCAAGCAAGCAGTACAGTAAGATAAAAGAATTGATCATTCTTCTTATTTTTCACCCTTCGAATCTGCTATTTCAGTTCTCAAATACTCAATAACTGTATATAATTCAAGTCGAATTATATAAAATAGGATCCTGCTGATTTCTTCTTTTTGAGAACGAATGAATGTCTAGATTGAAAATTTAAAAATTGTCAGAGGTACAAATTCTGTAACTTAAAAATTTTCAAGGTTTCTCGAGATTTCAAATTCTTATGGTTTCTAAATTTCTAAGTGTATTATTTCTCAAATCCCTGAACTTCTGTATCATCAAATTTCCAAATCTATAAATCCCCAAATCCCTGAATTCACAAATTCTCACATCTCCAAATTCTCAAATTCCCAAATTCTTAAATTCACAAATTCCCAAATCCCCAAATCCCCAAATCCACAAATCCCCAAATCCCCAAATTTTCAAACCCCCAAATTCTTAAATCCACAAATTCTCAAATCCCCAAATTTTCAAATCCTTAATTTTTTAAATTCATAAATTCCTAAATTCCCAAATCCCTAAATTCACAAACTCTCAAATCCCCAAATTCTTAAATTTACAAATTCCCAAATCCCCAAATTCTCAAATCCCTAAATGCTCAGTTTCCCAAATCCCCAAATCTCCAAATCCTCAAATCCTCAAATCCCTACATCCCTAAATCCCTAAATCCCTAAATCCCCAAACCCCTAAATCCACAAATTCTCAAATTTCAAAATCCCTCAATTCCTAAATCCCAGAATCTCCACATTTCAAAATTCCCAACTTCTCAATTTCCTAAACTTTCCAAATCTCCAAATTTCTGAATTAAAAATTGTAAGCAGTCCAGCTCCAAATTCTTAAATTTCTCATAATTTGTATAAAATTATATCATTATCACAGTCAAGGAACATTGTACATGACTTTTGTAATCAGATTCGAAAAGTTCGAGTTGCATAACAAATAGGGTAGCAAACACATCGACAGGTGATCACAGGGAACAAGACCTTTCCCTCAAACGAGTACACCACAGCCAGTTTTCCTAGAAACTTACTCCGTGTAATCGTAAGTGTCGTACTCGTAGTCGACATCCTCCTCCAAGTCGTAGTCGGAGTAGGACTCCTCATAGTACTCGCCGAGGGTAGTGTTAGTCGAGTTAGTACTAGTCGGTGTTACACAATCAAAAAAGGTTAGTGATACTTTGATAAAAAGGAACTAATTAAATTCTACCGTTACTATCGTGTTATCGAACAGCCTAACTTGATGCTTCCTAATTCGGAACGACCTCGAAAGGTGTGATGCAGTGACTTTATAGGAGTGTACGATATAAAATTCTTTCGAACAAAGAGAATGATTGTTAATGAACAGTTGTTACCTTCTTCCGTTACGGTGTCTGAACTGCAAGAAATTGTCTCCTTTAAAGCGAACTGGTCTCTCTGAAATTTCCGTCGACACATCGTAGCCCATGACTGAAACGATTTGATATAAGACAATATTTTTCTTGGATACAATAAATATGATTAATCCAAACTTACAAAATTCGCAATGAAGCCCGTTGTATCCACTGGCACACTTGCAGAGGTAGCTGTTCAACAAAGGCAAACAAACTCCACCGTTGTGGCAGGGATTCTGATTACTGGGACATGGTAAACCATCATAAATCTCGGTGTTGTGTTGAGTTACGTTTACTGCTAAGTTTTGGTACGTCTTTCCATTCACCATCAATCTTTGTACCGCGCCCACTAATCCCGTCGTGGCTCCAGAAAGCCGATGAACTTCTCGCCAATGTCTGCAATCAGTAAAGCCCTCATTTTGTATTCAATTATCTTTTTGATATTCGTAATTTTGATCTACTTTGCATCGATCATAACTACGTTACATGTTCCGTGGTTCCGTAACCATGCTCATTAACTCTTTGCACTTCATTTTTATTTTTTGGCAATTCCAAAACACTCTGGTTGAAAAGTTTGACAGTTGAGATTATTTTTTATTAGTCATTACTGTTGTTTGATTCGCGTTTACCACGTGCAAAATACTGTGGAGTTAACTAAAGATTTATTCAGAATTGTTCCATTAAACCAAATGTCGAGTGCAAAGGTTTAACTCATTTATTAATTAGGAACATGAATTCGAGTTTGATTGACCAATCAATATTTAGACAGATAAATCAATAATCAAACAGACGAATGCCTAAGTTTATGGATGTTCTGGATGATAAATGAGTAAATGAGGAATGAAATATTGAGATGAAATCGATTTACAATTATTCTGAACAAAAATTTCTACCGATTAATTTCTGTAAATAAGTGTTCCATAGCGTTAATTAAAAAGTTTCACAGAAACAAAAGTTTGATTTTGAAACTTACTTGACGCCACCGACGTAGAGTGGCATTTCTAAATTAAGCTCTGTCAAAGGACTTCCAGACAGTCCTCTGGCAACAGTTCCATCATCCAATTGCAGAACACCTTCTCTACCTAGCCTGCTGATTCTAACACAATGCCATGTATCGAGCGTGACGGGATCGGGGGATGTGATATTGGCGATACCACTTCCGAGATTGAATCTGAACTCCAGCCTGCCGTGGACTAAATTCAGGCTAATGAAATCACCACGTCCATTATTCAATTGGCCATTGTAAAGTAGCAATCCGTCGCTGGCGTGCGTAAGGAACCAAAGTTCTATGGAGAATGCTTTAGCAACACCCTCGAGACAGGGTAGTTCCAGGAAACCGTCCCGAGACATTTGAGGTATTAACAGCTCCGTCAATTCGGCATCCACTGCAATACAGGGAAAGTTATATCTGAACCATGTTTGTACGACGAAGCGATGTTAGGATAAAATTGACACTTTAAGCAAATTTATATTGTTCAAGTCCCAGGTGTAGGGATAAGGTTACTGCAATGGAACTTCGGTAAATCGAATCTGAGGGCAACAGCTCAAATATTTGAGTTATGGACCTTTCGACTTATCGAGAGTTTTGAACAGGTTTACACTTTGATAGAAATAGGGTGGTTTATAATTTAGTAAAAATTTGAAGTAGACCACATGTAATCAAAACTTAACAACACAAAAATGTTTACTCACAAATTTCGCAATGTTCTCCAGTTCTACCAGGCGGACACTTGCAAACGTATCCACCTTGAGGTAGAATATCGCACGTAGCTCCATGTTGACACGGTTCGCCCAAACACGGATCCAACGATTGTTCGCAATTCCTGCCAGTGAACTGAGGTGGGCAGATGCACCTATAATCAGGTGGTTCGTACTTCTCGACTGCGTAATTGCCGTGTTCGAAACTATTCTCATAATCCATATCGTAATCGTAATCGCACTTCGGAGCCTCGCAACGTCTCTTCACGTTCTTTTTCGACCTTCGTTGATCGATCGACGTGCAATGTGTACCTTTGCATCGCACGATATTCACTCCACTTTTGTCCTTGCCCTTTCCTCGTCTTTGGATTCTTCTACATTCGCGATCGTTGCAGAGATCTTCCTCGAAAATTGGCTGACATGTTGCGCCGTTTTGACAGGGCAGGTTTGCACAGGCGTTTTCCCCGCATTCTTTCACGCGATATGTTTCTAAGATGTCTTTGTCGTGACCCACGTGCAGATCGACACTGTATCGGTTGATTTTTATTTTTCTGATGCAGCCCAGGAAGCCGTGGTTGGTTCCGATGTTGTCGTATACCCTGTGGCAAAGATTAGGTTTGGTAATATTCTTATTTAATCACATATGTCGGAGTAAAGAAAATAATAAAATGGATAAAAATGTGACATTGGTAATCATTACTGCAAGAGAAGAAGAGGAAGAATACAGAGAAATTAGTATGTATTTAACACATTTTGTATAAATTTTTACTTTGAAAACGTAAAGATGATAAAATGTGAAGAAAGTACAGTAATGGGGTTCTTCGACACAAGTAATAAGTGATACATACTTGGAGTAATTTGTGGGCATATTCCCGATGAACGTGTCTTGATTCAAATCCAACGATTTCAGCATCCCCTGACTTTGTCCAGCAACATCCTCTCCGTCGTTGAAAATTAGAACACCATCCTTATGGTACCTTTTCGCTGCTACACGATGGAATGTTTTCATGGTGACTCTTTCAGGTGCAGTCAGTACCACTGGACCATTTCCTAGATTGTATCGAAACTGCACGTGCCTGCAAAAGAATTAACATCAGAAACAATACTAGTAACTTCCTTTTAATACTTAGTAATTAATAATTATCTATCTATCCTTCACTATCAAATGACAGAGGAGTTAGATTTGGTGCGGAAAGTTAAGGGATCTAAACAATGTCCTATAATTAATATCACGAAGTCCTATGTTAAAATAAATCTGAATTACTTAGGTAATAAATCTCAAGTACTTTGTATACCATTCGAACGTAGACCCATTAATATTTGAATTCCATATCGACTTGGACATCACAGGTATTCGAACCCCAAATTTGAACAATTCTAATAAATTATTCTGTTACAAGCAGAGCTATATACTACACATTTTTGTCCCATAAAAGGAGACGAAGAGGAAAGTGACGGAATAGGTAAACTGTACGCGTGGATTTAGCCACATTAAATGGCCTTGAGCTACCAATTCAGCCAGGACATAGAATAGATAACGTATCAGGGGCTCTAGCTACGGTAATTCCGTGTCTTTGGCACTAATTTACAGGATAACAGCCACCGACCCGTCGACGATGGCCAACGAGACGAAATCCCCGGTGCCGTCGCTCTTCTGTTGGTTGTACAGTATAATCCCATTGTCGGCGTACGTCTTGAACTCGACCTCGACGCTAAACTTGTGGTAAGCTTTCAACCTGTTCATCCGGACGTAGCTCTTGCCGTCGAACGACGGCACTTTGTAATCCCTTTTGTTGATCTCCTCGTTGCATAATAGGCCGGTGTAATTCGGACGACACATGCAAACGAATGTAGCGCTCGGCAGATCGATGCACGTCGATGTCGCGTGACATGGATACGACAGGCAAGCACGAAATTCTTCGGTCGGTGTTACTGGCACGTAATTAGCTGGAAACAGGTCAATTAGATTCTTCTATAAGCTATCAAACGTTCAGAAAGTTCAAACGCGTTCAACGCGAACTTTGTTATCGAACCCATAGTGTACCGTGATGCGACGATTAATATTCTTTGTTAATCAGGGCGCGTAACTTCGATGTTCTTCATTGTTTCGACGTTAATGTTTGATGGGAGTTCTCAAATTCTCAGATTCTCGAAAATTGTACATTTAAGGTTTATACGATTATCGAGTTTAAGTTTGTTAATGTTGACGAAGTGAAATTTTTATATATTGACATTTCTAGATTTTCGATGTCATCAAATTCATATAAATGTTACGTTACGATCTGCTACTTTTCAGTATTATTAATGTAGAAAATTTGAACTTGAACTTTAGGAATTAAAAAATTTGAAAATTCTCGATTTTAAATGTCTCTTAATTTTAAGTTCAAATTTTCTACATTAATAATACTGAAAAGTAGCAGACCGTAACGTAACGTTTATACAAAAATTGCTTCGCCTTTTTTATCATTGTATTGCCGGTACTTTTAGTTTGTTTTCGGTACCACTTACCAAAACATTCCTGTCTATCGCTAGTTTCAGCATATCCATCCGAACAAATGCATCCTCCATTGGAGCATTCGCTGTTGGGTATAGTACAATCCTTGTCATCGGTGCATAAATCGCCCAGCAACGCGGTGACCACCCGAATCGTTGCCGGGGTTGGTCGATACGCTGCAGCCACTCCTGAAAAACGGGATCGTTGAATCGATGTCCGCCTACAGTTTCGTTCCTTTATGAAAAAAAGTGGTGTACGAATGACACTATATGCTATCTATCCGATTATCGACGCCGAGTCGATGCAGAATTAACCGCTAAGCGGATTACGGATGCAACATACGAGGAGACATTTACTTATCCACGTTTGCGTTTATATCTAGTGGAACTTTCTTCCATTTATCGAGTGTCAGTTGAAACTGTTAATTACATGAAATTCGGAGTATCATGGCGTTCGTTTTAGAAGTTGGTATTTATACTAAATTAATTGGAAAACAATATCGATCGGGTTTACGTTTAAGGGAGTAGGTGATGGGCAGGTCAAGTGTGCACTGAAGAGCTCAGGTTAATCGGGAGGCATGATACGAGCAATAATGAGGTGTTCGACGTAGAAGTTTACAGAGTTTTTAATTTAAAAATTTTTAAATGGTGGTTGGAGATTTGGGGTTGACAGTTTTGGGGGTTTAGAAATTTTGGATTTGATAATTTGGGAATTTAAGAATTTGGGATTTGAGAATTTGGGGATTTGAGAATTTCGGAATTTGATAATTTGGGGATTTGAGAATTTGAGGATTTGAGAATTTTGGAATTTGATAATTTGGGGATTTGAAAATTTGGAGATTTGAAAATTTGGGGATTTGGGGATTTGGGGATTTGGGGATTTGGGAATTTGGGGATTTGAGAATTTGGGGATTTGATAATTTGGGGATTTGGGGATTTGGGGATTTGGGGATTTGAGAATTTGAGAATTTGGGGATTTGAGAATTTGGGGATTTGATAATTTGGGGATTTGGGGATTTGGGGATTTGGGGATTTGAGAATTTGAGAATTTGGGGATTTGATAATTTGGGGATTTGAGAATTTGGAGATTTGAAAATTTGGGGATTTGGGGATTTGAGAATTTGAGAATTTGGGAATTTGGGAATTTGGGGATTTGGGGATTTGGGGATATGAGAATTTGAGAATTTGGGGATTTGAGAATTTCGGAATTTGAGGAGACACGGTGAATCTGCGAATTTGAGAGATCGGGAACTTGACAATTTGGAGATTTCAGGATTTGACGACTTAGAAATTTCGAAATTTGGAAATTGGAAGGTCTGAGTATTTGGCAATTTAGGATTCGGGAGATTTAAGAATTTGAAGAGTTGAAAAGGGAATTTAGGAATTTGGGGATTTAGATCTTGAAGATCTATCAATTAGGGGTTTGAGGATTTAGCAATTTATAGATTGCAGACATGGAGTTTAATTAATAAAGAATTTGAAAATGAAAAAATTTGAAGATATCGAACTTTGATAATCGTGTACTTTGAAAATATAAGGATTTACAAACACAAGAATTTGAACATTTACAGTCTATCAGTCACTCAGAAATTTCCAAAAATGTAATATTTCCAAAGTCCACTAACGCTATTTAACTCCTTAATAAAATACATCGCCGCTCGAAAATACTTTTACATTTTTAATCTTTGCGCCGGTGATATTCATTTTCGTGCTGACGTTGATGAATTTATGGAGTTCCCGTTGGAATATTTTTAAACTGTCCTAGATTCCTATTTTTACGTTCACGTCCAGTTCATGTTAAATAGAACATTTAGGATAATCGCTGTTACAAAACATTTTGATTATTAACACAAAGGTTAAGCACATTAGTACAATACAAAAATAACAAATAAGCAACAATTATTTATGCTTTGTGCAACACATGTCTGGATTTTATATACCTTTGTAAATGATATTTAGAATAATTCTTCGTTTCACTGCAGTGTATGACAAAACAAATAAAATATAAGTAATATAAGATTATATTACTTGATACAATGCAATATTGTACCTTGATACAATTTTTGCAAGATAATAATATTTATTTAAGAAACTTAATGACAAATAGGAAAATTAAAGATGAAAATATGTAAATTTACAATTGTTTATGATTGAATAGATGTAAGATGAAAATGGACGTTTACCATGTTTCAAATTGTCCCTGTCGATGGTGATGGTTTCTTGATGTGCTCGATGAGTGTAATAATAACGTGGATCCGGTTCTGGTATCAGCAGATGTCTAGTTGATTTGGACAATGGAGAAATGGCGGCTGCTGGTTGGGTATATTGCACTGCGGTATACCTTTTAGCGGGGAAGTCCGTATTCACCATGGGATCGTCTGAAAATTGCACGATGGGCCCAGACTTTTATGGCTGTTCGATACAGAACGGTATTTTTCGGTAATTCTATTAAATTCGGCTGAATACTTTATAACGACCAAAAAATCACGAATGGGCTTTCTGAAAGCATGGATCAATGTCGAACCAACGCTACATTTTTCGTACCTAATTCATCTTTTTGACAATTTTTATAAACTCAAATCACCTGTTCTGTTATTTAAATTTAAAGTTTAATGGATTGATAGCACTTTTAGAAAGAATAAATTATCAGAATTTTAAGTTTCTAAAGAAGCTTGCGAATTTGGTAGATTAAAGGTTTTGAAAATTAATTTCCATATTACATTCGTAACTTGTTAACTTTGAAAGTGTTCCACTACGTACTCTAGAAAGTATCTTCCAACATTTGCCGTATATTTTCCGACATTTTCTTCGCGTCATGTGTGAATTATCCTGCATAATTCAGAGATGTGAAGAGAAAGTAAAAAGTCATGTGGAGATGACGGGATTATTCTTTTACGACTGGGTAAGAGTGGAAAAATAGGGAAGGTGAATGTAACTCACAAATTACTTCTTAGTCACACTTGACATAAGAAGAGTCAAATGAAGCTGAAGAATATAGTATCTAGGTTAAACTAAAGATCATTTCTACGACTTGGAAGATACAGTAAATTAAAATCCAACGGTCATTAGTCGCACCTGTATTGTCTAAAAAATACTCACTCTTCATTTTATATTTTAACGACATATTCCATATATTCTAGGAAAAAAGATGAATCGTATGCTGTTATATCATCTGTATTATCTAAAAAATTTCATGCTATTCATTTTATATTTTAACGACATATTCCATATATTCTAGGAAAAAAGATGAATCGTATGTTATATCCAAGAGTGGACGCCATTTGTCCATATCCGGCGCCCTCGTCAGCCATCGTAGCTATGAAAGTTGATCCAACTAATTTAATCGATACGAACACAGAAAATCGATGCTGACCGAACAAAAACAAATATACGTATAAAATGGAAACGCTTCGAAGGTTTTCTCTAAATAATGAGAATCTGAAAGCTAATTCTATCGAAGCCGACAACCGGGACCAGGTAACAGCAGTTGGAAACGGCTTGATGGGATTTTAATTACTTTCCAATTGCAGCGTTGCTTCCTATTATTTTACCTCGACGACTTCTGCCGTGCGCTATCTTTTTCCTTCATTTTTTCCCCTCCCTGTATGTACCTTTCGGTCCAACGTCCCCTAACCATCGTCCCGTCGTATTTCTCTCGATATAATCGAGCCTTTTATCGGCTGCGAGACAAAATCGACAGCGAAACTCATTTTCTCTCGCTAGCTGTCCCTATTGAAAATATTTTCCACGCCGAGAATCGATGTCGCGGAGAGAGGAGCGAGGAGAATGGATTTAGTCAATTTAAGTGTTCGTCGATTGGCGGGGAGTAGAATCTGACGGGAAATACGAGTCGACATTTACGAACCGAGAGAATTTCTTCGCTCTGACGATTGCTCTTTTCAATGGGAGCTTTTTTTCCTTTATCGACGTTTGACTGTTCCATTATTTCATCCCTTTCCTGTTTATATTACGAAGAGAATCGAAGAAACGACCGGAGGATTAGCCTCGTATTTATCCGCTGAAAGCGTAGAATTTTGAACGAAGTCGAGCACCGATGACGACGGCCACTCTTACTTTTATTTACGTTTCCCTGCATGGAATTATCGATGTGCCGCGAAAAAATAAATCTTCCATTTTAACATTCAGAAATGTACCATCCGACGCTGTTATCTCTGTAAGCTTCTTACGCTCGAGAGTAATCTCGATCGTGTTCCTGTATCTAAATCCTAAGGAGTTATTGCCGTATCTCGTGGATTTATAAAGCTCGATTCGACGAATTGCAATTACGAGTAAAATCCGATTTTGTATATTTCTCAGATTTTCTTAGTAAATGAGTAATTAGTTAACAATCTATCTAGAAATCAAACTTTCTAAATAATTATTACTGTAGCGTGTCACGGTACAACTGACAATTCATATAATATCAAAATAAGTAGAAAGAAAGATTTCCGCATAATGTACCTAATATTTCAATTTTCTTTACCTGTCTCAATGCCGTAACAATTGTGAATAATAATGAATGAATAACTCCACTGTATAAAACCGTAGGATAAGGGATGAAAAATAATTCGAGGGGAATCTAACCTAAATTTCCTGTCTTTGTGTTAACCGAGGTAAACCAAAGTTGCACGCAAGTGTACATCCGCTTTCGTTTCACGGTACCACGCTTGAAAATATTATATTTGCAAAGTCAACCGTATGAAACTTCACACTTTCATCAAAGGCGGTCGTACTTTCTCGTAGGGAATTTTGAAAGGAGCTCGAAGGAGACACGCAGTATTTACAAGCTTTGATGTGGCGTCACTCACACGGTCCCACGTTCATTCGACCGCAGAATGTTCTTGCTGAGGGGAAGGAAACGGGATGAAAAAGGAGCCTTGTCCCGTGTAAAGCGTACTCCTCGCGAAGACAGTGGGCGGGGGATGGATGGTTCGCGTACTCCAAGTAATCTGATTTATGTTTGACTCGGAAGGACGAGCTCCGACGAAGAACTTTTTAAGAGATTGACTTCCAGCGGCCGAGAGAGGACCAGACGACGTGGATGGAGGACGAAGCTGGCTGGTTCGAGAGGGCCGAGCAATCGAAAATAAGGGATGAGAGGTTACGGAATCACGATGAGACTTTAATAGATTTCAACGTTTCGAACTTTCTTCGGATACTTTCAGACGACAGCTGCGAATGCCTCTTCGTGTTCTTTTCTTCGACACGTATTTACCGCGCATGAGTACCAGTGTTTTAACCCTTTGACATGTGATTCATTTCGAAGATGGGAAGCTTACGGGAATGTGTACGTATATTGCAACGTTGTGCGAAGAAGAAGTTGAAAATTACTAATATTTAGGCAGATATGCAATTCAGTTAGATCTGACACAATTTTGTCGAATATCAATATCAAGCAACGAAGGATTAAAATCGATTCTCTCTTTATTGTATTTATGTATATATTATGGCTAGTTATAGAAGGTCTGTCTGTATTTATAGAAAAGAGTTTGATAAAGACTCCACAAACCTTTTGTCTTCAGTGAAAAATAGCTGACTATAAAAGTAATAGACTTTGAAATATAGAAAATGTTACATGACTTCGTAACATAAATATTACTTACAAGTTTACTGTTGAAATTCGATGAAAATAGTCGTGTACACTTAAGTTCGTATTACAAAATGATTTTGACATAGAAAGTAATGAACATAACTAAGTTTGAAAATCTGATTTCGTGAAATAATATCGCAAAATGCTTATGTTCTATTAAATCGAAGTTTCAGTAACGATCACATAAATTTCCCAACTCTGAATATAAAATGTTCGGCTGCGAATTATAGCCGCGAATTATGGCGATCAATTTTAAAACTTTTGTAGATCTGCCCTAAAATACTGCTTATAGCATATCCATACTGAGAATGTTTAAACATTTATGATATACGCGAGTAAAGTATATTTAATTCACGTGATTCATATCCATCGTCTGTAGATTTATGTACATTTCACAGACTTGGATTTATTACAAACTTCTAATTATATTAATTTCAAACTTATATTTTCATAATTGAGAATAACTGCAGAACCGTACAATACTTCAGCCAACAAAAGATTTGGCTATTTGTTAGAATTGATTGAAAATAGACGCGGAAGGGGAATCTCTTTTCAGCTTCGTCGTTCGATAAATTTATCACGGTTTTCGATTCGTTGAACACGACGCCGAGCGAATCTCCAGGGATGAATTTATGGCGGGCAACGATATCAAAAAGCGGTCGGTTCAATGTTCGTTTCAAGTTCGACGGTTTTAACTTCGACGGAGCTAATTTATTTTGACAGAAGACCGCGCTTAACAACCGAGACGTTTCGTTACCGTTTCTTAAAGGTTCCGATGTTAAGTCTCGGGTCTGGGTATATCTCACAGGGACCACTTAGGACAAGAGACTTGGCTAGAAGTTGACGGTGATTTAGTTAAATCCACCTTTGCCGCTTAGTTTCGCGAGTTAACGTCACCAACTTCCCGGAATTTACCTACGAGTGAGATAGTACACTCCTGGGATAAAGGAAATTCCATGAATCCGTATCTCGAGACCGACTGGATCTTCGACTTCTGACAATTCTCACGAAATTGAGCAAACACGCCACAGTTTCAATTTTATTCATCTTAATTTTACTTTTGTCTATACAGTTATCCAAATTGAGCGCTTTAGAGTAATAATCTAAGAGCAATTAATGAGCTAGAAAATAATATTGCAGCCGTCACTGATCAAATTGAATATCAATTAGGTAGTATGTATAGTAAAAAATATGTACAACATGTTACATGTATAAAACAAATCTAAAGAATCAATGATATTACGTTTCATAGTTAATGGTACTAAATTAAACAATTTTACAAAAATGTAAATTAACAAAATATTAATAAATTGTTCATATCTTATTTCAATTTGAAAATATGAGAATCAAATAGGATAACCCTGTATTTTTGTAGGTATGTTCAAATAACGATAATTTGAGCTAAAGAACGAAAGTATGAGTCAGACACTTTGCTTTCTTTCTTGTTTATCAACGTGCAATAATTTTGAATGAAACAATTAATCACATAGGATGGGTGAATCAAAGTTAGTGAAGAAAGCAAGCAAAGTAGCGATCAAGCTTATCGGGTGTTAGGGGATTATAAACATATAGGTATACATCTCAGTAGAAACTTGATATAAGTTTATTATCACGTAGTGGATACAAAGGAACAGGTTAGATATTAGTCCTAGCTTTGAGCTTTCATTTCGTCACCTAAACATTTGTATTATTTAATAGTTTATTAATCTCGCAACTTCCTATTCGATCCTTAACAAATTACGCAAACCCGGCTCCATCAGTTTCTAATATAAATCCTAACTACAAGAGAATTATGCTAAACTTCGTACGTTACCCTCGAAATCGTTACGACTATGCTCCGACGTCCTCTTTGAATCGTTTAAATAAATCGCATTCGCTGGTCACCTAACATTCACAAACGAACCTAAACTAAACCGTCGATCCTTAACAAGTAGGTACAAATTAAACTGCGAATTAGCCAAATTTTAAACAGGTTAGCACACCGCAGAAACGTTAGCGGATCGCCCATTTCACACAGGATCCAATCCTGTCCAGAAGCCGTTCCAGGGTTAAAAGTGTTCCCGGTGGTTAATGGGTTTAGTAATGCAGAATATAAGGCGGCCTGTACGGCGTACGCTCAGTAAACCCACCTCTGCAGTGGCCAAAAGCTTGAGTGACCACGTCTGCCTGGTGGCGACAAGCGTACAGCCTAAGTTCGCACTCGTTGTCGTATGTCTGTCCGTCGCTACCGCAAACTGGTGCCGACGGTATGTCCGATGGACAAGAAGACGGACAGACGCAATGTGGACCACCGATCTCTGAACACTGCCCACCTGAATAACATTCCAGCTCGTTGCAGGACGTTGGTATCGGCGGTGTTGTGTCCACTGCAAGCAAACGCGAAATTCATTTCTTTAGTACTCAACTTTTTTTCTTTTCAAATTATTTTCTTAACGCGTCGATCACCGTGGTCAACCATGTCGGTTTGTCATAGTATGTGACCGGTGGTGCAAATTCAGTTAAACTGTTTACAGGAAAGACAGACGATGGGACTCTTGAAAACTTTTAATGTTGAGATGACACGGACTATGAGGCTAAGAGATGAAATTCAAGTGTCTTTGATTTTATAGTGTGACCACAAAAGTTTCTACTGTGGTGATCAACATGTTAACCGAACAATTTGATGATCACAGTAATATCTCGTTGATAATAGGAATATGAATATAATAATTATGAAGTTGGAGAATGCAAACCCTATCAAGATAGAAATAAGTGTAAAATCATGTTATTGAATGTCTCTTCGTTGTCTTATTTTGCATGATACCTGAATAGCAACCAGTAGGTGTTAGCATCTTGTTGTGATCTGTACATATTGTACATTTGTGACCCTGTATGCCGGTCTTACATACACAACGACCTGTCATTTGTTCGCAGTCCTCTCTGGCAGAGCCATAGAGTGAACACCCGCACGCTGAAACAAATAAATCCCATTTGTGTGTTAATTTATGAAATATAATATTGAAGGGATTGAACTATTAAAATGGTATAAATTAATCTTGTATAGTGATACGTTCGACAATTTCATTGTAATTTTATTTTATTGTATTCTAGTATCAGAATAATGAAATTTTTAAGTCATTTTGGAGGTCTATTTGTAACACCTTGATGATATCACAAGTTTGTGCTATCGATAGCAATTTCGAAATTTTTTAATTTTGAGGTTGGAGGTTTAGAATTTTGGGACTTTTGCATTTTTTAATACTTCGACAACTTTTTGATTCTTCTAAATTTTTTATATTTTCAAACTCTTACACTCTGATGATTTTTTGATACTTTGAAAATTCCTAATCTTTAAATTCTAAACATGAGTCTGAACTCATCAAAGTTTGAAAACTACTTTAGAGATTATTAAACCCAACTGGGAAATTTTGCCATCAACCTTTTAGCGTACTAAATACACTAATAATTTCACATTTATTAGCTAATAGGATTAATGTAGAGTAAACATAACAGTAATTCAATATTAACATGCTAATGGAATGTTCCAAACATACTAATGAAATTGAATGAATAAACGGATTACCAGTAACGTTTATACATGCTAAATTAAAATTCCACGAAACCAGCAGTCATCAAAGTGTTAATATCCGCAGAATATTCCACGTATAATTAGACACGAGTGTATAAATCTTACGTATGCATCCAGGATGTCCTTCGCTGATTTTAGGAAGACCCCAATAGCCTGGCATGCATCTGTCGCACTTAAGGTCACCTACACCCGGTTTGCACTCGCATTGTCCAGTTTCAGGGTTGCAGGTATCGGAAACACTACCTAACCTATTGCATTTGCAGGTGTCAGGACAACCTGCGCCATTGGGTCCTCGAGCAGGTGTTTTGCCATCCGGGCAACAGCCGTGCCAAGTGTCTGAACACTTCACGACCTGGGTACCTTGAGCTAAACAATCGATAAACATGCACTTCAAAATTTCATTATATTTTTCATTTATAGAACTAATATTTACAGATGTAAATATCATTCATTTATAGAACAAATATTTACAGATGAAACCTAACTGTTCATCTTTGTTTTGAGAAAAGTAGAATAGGAACGTTTACATGTTTCACGTAAATTAATCAATTAAATAAAGAGAGTAGATACGGAGTTGGGTTAGTTTCACGTTAGTTACACATTTCAGGTGTAGAACCGATTTTTGATATTGGAAGACGATCAAACCTTTCTTGCAGCACCGAGCTATTTTAGTTGTTTGATGACAGTAACTGTTGCTGGGACAATCTCTTCGTTCTGGTCCATTGCCGCAATCGTATTCTTTTCCATCTTCATCCACCAATGGCGGGTCACCGTTGCAAGGTTTCACTTCCATACCTATGTGAAAGAAGTATTTGTGATATCACAATTTCAAGGAAGATATTGATTTATTCTGGTGAAGATATTCGAGGAAGGAAAATAACTTGTACGAAATATCAGGAACAAAATATAGAATTGGAAAAATAAAATTTGGGGTAATCACAATGTTTTTCTGTTACAAAATGCGACCTTTGCTAAAATCTATGAACTAAAATTAATTCTCTACTTATGGATTGAAGGGTTCTAAACACTTATTTAGTAACGAAAGCTTAGTTTAGTATATAATATTAGATAGTTAACATGGACTAAATAATAAGGTGGCGCCCTTATGATTCGAGAGTAAGTAAACGCTTAATGAATTAAATCAAGCAGAAAGCATTGTAGACACAAAGAGAAAATGTAATTTACAGGTTCAAACAATTCTTCAAACCTCAGTGGTTAAATAATTTAACCGAAATAATTAACAATACAATTAGGATCGTGCAGAAAAATTTCACTAATGATATTCTCTGGTTGCATGCTGGTAGATTTAAAAATTTCAAATTTACAAGTTTGAGGGTTTGTAGATTTACAGATGTGGATTTGAGGATTTGAAGATTTAGAAATGTGGGAATTGCAGGATTGTGAAATTAAGGAATTTGAAAATTGGAAAATTAGGAATTTAAGAATTTGGGGATTTGGTAGATTTGTGGATTCGGGCATTTGGGAGTTTGGGGATTTGAGGATTCAGACATTTGGGAATTTGGCGATTTGAGGATTGGAGGTTTAGGAAATTCAGAAATTTGAGAATTAGGGCATTGAGGGATTTGGAGATTTGGAAGATTTGAGGATTACGAAAGGGGGTTTGAGAATTTTAGGGATTAGGAAATTTGGGAATTTAGAAATTGGGAAATTTGGAATGTGGAGATCTGGGGATTTGGGTAATTTGAGGATTGGGAAATTTGAGAATTTGGGGATTTAGGAATTTGGAGATTTAGGAGATTGAAGGTTTGTGAAATTTAGAAATTTAGATTTTTGAGGATTGGAGGATTACAAAATCCAAGAATTTGGAAATTTAGAAATGCAGGAATTTGGAGATTTGAGACATTAGAAGATTATGTAATTTGTGAAATTGAGAATACAGAATTTGAAAATTTCAAATTCAGATTTTATGCATCTATAAATCTATAAATCAATGAGTCTAAAAACTCTAAATCTGACAACGTAGAATTATAAAATGCAGAAATAAAATAAATCTATGAATCTACAAATCTACAAATCAATGAATCTAACAACGTAGAATTATGAAACGAAGAAATCAGCAGCATATCTCAAACACGAAATCGAACATGTTCGAACCTTGGCAAAGTTCGAGAGGTCTAGGTCTGAGTTCTTGCTGCCTCTGACATGCCTCCATTTTCATAGCGCACAAGGAGGAATACGTTCTCAGGTCGCTGCCACAAACGGCGCGCATATTTTCCGGTGAAATCGAGGCGCAGTCGAATTTGCAGCTGCACCTGGGGTACTCGTCAGGTCCTAGCTCGCAAGTCGCCTCAAAATCGCAATTAATGTTTTTGCAAGCCTCGCGTACTTGAGTGCTGGTCACGTCAACAGCAGTGGTGGCCAATCGAACCACCGCAGGCGTCGACATCGTAGCTGTTACATGCGGTTAAGGGACGGTTAATGTAATTAAACTTGTTAGACGACGTGTCGTTGGGTAGTTAGTTTCGCTACGGAGGTATTTTCATGTGATGCGGTTAATATTGATTGCTTGATAGGGTGGTACACCATGTGTTAAATACTTCTGCCCAAACGTTTTTTCGTTCTAATAATTTTCGGTAATATTCATATTTTTGTTGAAAGTTTTAAATTTTGCAAGTATCGAAGTGTTAAAAATTACAAGTCACTGTGTTACTGTTATAAGAATATCAATTGATCTGAAAAGTCATATAGACAACAGATACATGAAAAGTTACACGTTTATTTTAAAATGCAAATTGTCAGTTTAGCTGATGTAGCACCCGTACTTTAGCAAGCTACCCCATATTGCATGAGTTATATACTCACGCAATTCTTTCATTTCACCAGAAACTTTAACAGAAATTCTTCAATTAATTCCTCAATCAACATCTTGTCAGTATTTCTCCTTCGTAACTTCTGTATCATTGAAGACTATAGTAAATTATGGTGCTCGAGGTCAACACTCAAGTTTAATTAAAATCAGATTATTCCGAATGATGAAGCGTACAACATGTTTCAAGAAAATTAATCGAAGAATGTTTGGCTGTGATATCAGATTGAGAAAAGAGTCAGAAACGTACTTAATGCAGCTACAGCGAATCGATCGCTGCAATTGCCATAGAATATCACGTGCAACACCGGCAATTTCGGATCTCTGCCACAAGCTGCTCTTTGGAGTTCACATTCGGATGGGTATGTGCTGGCATCGCTACCACACACAGCTTCTCCGGTGTGTTCAGGACACTCGTCTGGACACACGCACACTCCTGCCATGCAGTGGGCTCCGTGTTCGCATTGCACTCGTGCACACATTTCTGAAAATTGTTATGTTTCCTTACACCGTTTCGAAATCTTGATATTACGGACGATAAACAGGAAGTTCGTGCGCAAGAATGGCAATTAGGAGACTGATTAAAATGCTTACCGCAATCGCCTATATAGCTGACAGTGATGTGAGTTTGAGAAGCGCAAGATGCCACCTTCATAGCACACTCGCTGGCATAAGTTACTCCATCAGAGCCACAAACTTTCTCCGCGTCTGCAAGTTCTTTGCTCTGAAATTAGAATATAAAGTTTATGATTAGGTCGCTGCTGAATATACGCTCCGAGCTAATTACCAAGGGAGCATTGGAAAATACTAGGTTGTGTATGAACGCTATTTATGAGTGTAATTTGAAAATTTGGGAATTTAAGGACGAGGTGTGGAACGTTGAGAATGGAGTTCTGGTATTTTGGTTATGGGAATTTGAGAATTCGGAGGTTTTTAATTTTTAAACTTGGGAATTTTGGGATTTGGATATTCAAGACTTCGGTGGCTTTGATGATTCATAAATTTGGGAATTTAAGGATTTGAACATTGGGAGATTTGATAACTTTGAGATTCGATCACATGAAAATTTGGAAATTCAATAATTTGGGGCTTACAAATTTATACATATTATAGTTTGGTATCTTGACAATATAGGAATTCGAGGATTTAGAAAAGGTCTAGCCGGATAAACATGGGCAAACGGCCTCCGCACCAATTTTGATATTTATTCATTCTAAATATTCCTTTATATCCAGAAATCAATTGCAGAAAATTTCAAATACCTACCCCGTCGTATAAGGGAGATACAGGGATAACAACCCTCAGAGTTAACGCCTATTTTCTCGAAAACGAGTTGTGATATCCGCACACATTCAAAAGGAAAAGACAGATATTTATTAACTTCATAACATATATTTTGTTCAGAATTTTAGTTTAATCACAAGGGGTGGAAAAAAATTATTTTAATTTTTAGGGGTGGTTTTTGAGAACAACCCCTTGAGTGACAATCTCCAAAAAAATTAGGAATGATGTATTGCTATCGAATTATTATGTATAAAATCCTCAAGAGTGTCGGAGGGGTGGAACATGGTTAAATAAATTAAAGAATATAATGATAGCGCGATTATTTCGATAACCGGACTTCGCGACCTTGATTTATAAATGAGGAAATTTACGGATTTGAACTTTGACAAATTCGGTAATTTAGAGAGCGGATTTAGAAGTTTCATAACTTCACAAATTTGAGGATTAGAGTTAATAAATTGAAGGTACAAAGTACCGTGTTATAAACCTCAGAATGTGGTAATATAATACGGTTTAACTTTTGACTGATCACATGCCTCAAAATCACATGATCACACGTAAGCTTTATCAACCCTGCATCATAAACTTCCATAATCCACGTAATTATTTGAGACGCTAATGATTGGTACACGAAAAGTTTTCAAAATTTCAAATTAAAAAACATAAAATTATTAAAATTTAAAAACAATAAAGTATTCATTCTTTTAAATTAAAAACTATATTTATCCTTACATACTAGCAAAAAAAATATAAGAATGTAATTTGTACATTTATACATTTAAAATTAAGCGGAATTTAAGTCATGTGTACTTAGGTAAAGGGTATAATTTGAAAGTATGTCGCGAATGTTAGTACTCAAATAGCAGACAATAATAAGAAAATCAACAAACCATAAAATGACACAAGATTGCACGCGTTTTTCACTTGTTGCGCAATGGCTGTCAGAGGCACTGCGACACCAGCGTATGGACGTGTGTAGGTAAGTACACAAGGGGTGAGAAAATAATACGTAGGAGTAAAACTTAATTACCTTGATCGTGCTATTCAGCTTATTATGCTGCTTTCACGCATGCGTTAGTTACTGCTTTCCCGAGAGCGTTTTTCGCTTGTATTCGAACAGCGTGTACAATCGTAAATATATCAAATTTAATCGCAATTTCGGACTTTGCGGAATTTTTGTCTGTGAGACGGTAGATAACGAATATCACATTCTATTAAAACACACTGGTATTTAAATATTCAGAATAAACTGTAAAAGTTCAGTACCTTGTCGTAAGCGTGTTTTAAAAATTTGTAACTTTCTTCCATTGTATTCTACAAAGGAATATTCATTTCCTTTGAGAAAACAAATGATTCAAACTATCTCCTTCACTTTAATTAAAGTCTGCTATTTAATATAGGAGTAATCCATTATGTTAACTCTTCAAAGCTTCCCTTTTAACGAAGTTTTTGCTCCTTCAAGAACAAAATTTCACCGGTATCGATTATTCTATGGAATCTATTCGATACTACATAATAAATGAAGAATAATCTTCAATTTACTTACAAAATTTTAAACTATTCAAAATTTATTACTACACAAAATTATTTCATTGGATAAAAGTCAGTACGAGAGATAAAATAAAAATGTGAACGATTTTTGCAATCTTCCTAAAAAAAATTCGAAATGCGTTTGACGTGTCCCGTAAACCTAGTGGTAAGCAAACTTTAGCTGTGAGATACGAATATAACGTTGTTTTTCGCTTGAATTTGTTCAACTGATTAACGGTATTATAGATTTGTTTTCATAGCAACGAGCAGAATAGGATAACGAAGCTCCGAGAGACATTTACCGTAGCTGGATGCGTTTTAATTGGTTTCCTTGGCAAGTTGATACGCACTTCCTTCCTTCTTATTGTAATTTACGAGACAATTACGAGGGGATTCACGGGAGGATGAGGGTGGTCTGGGACGCTGCGATATTCCTCGTTTGCAGTTCAAACAATGCTCCTAACCCTCATCTCTTTCTCCGTGCTCCGATTCAGTCCTTTTCATCCCATCTTTCCTCGAAAGTCCTTTCCGTGCTTGTGGAACGCTGACGCGTCAAATTCGCGAGAACATTGTGCGTCCGTGCGGGAAAGATGTAATTTCGCGTTTAAGACGAGAACGCGGGCAATTTTTCACGATCTTACACGAAAAATTACGCTGATGCGTTACACGTTTCTTGTCATAACTTCTAAATATTCCTACCCGATATTGTAGGATCGAAAACAACCCCTAGTGGATTAAAACCCTTCTTTAATATTCGTAACTTCCCTAAATGACTTCTTGTCTTTTTACATGTTTCAGATCTAACTTCTCTTGTTAGCTGTTTCAAATTTAGGATTGTAGGAATTTGGGGACATATAAACTTGAAGATGTAGAAATTTAGGGATCTAAAAATCTGCTCAAATAGTCAAACAACAGAATCTCATACCAAGATACATTACTCACATCACACTTAACCCCTTGACCCCCAATATCACTCATGATTCATGACGCACATTACAATTTAGATATTTTAAACTAGACTCGTATTTTCACTGCCATTGAATGTTGTGTTCAATTCTAATTATAATCTGCATAAAGAAAGATAGCGAAATGTATAGTGTACCATTTTAATTTTCTTCACTTGTCTTCACATTGTAAGAATAATCAGGTATGCAGCAGTTCATTAACTGTCATTACACAACTGTGCATAAAATTGTGAAGGTGTTAATGCTCCGTAACAGCAAGAAAAAATTGTAACTATGCAAAATAATAATATTAAAAAAAAGAAACAAGTTTGTACGTAACTCCACTAAAAAAATCTGTAAAAGTAACAATATTGTCGATCGAAATAACTAAAAGGAAAAAGACTCCGTTCAATGGGTGTCTCGCGGTAGTTTCACGAAACGATGGCACGTATTCTCGAAAAAAGGTCGTTCAAGTTGATGGTTTAGCGTCTGTCTTTCCCATAAACGTTCTCTTAACGTTGACGTCGTTGAATTTTGGATGGCTCCAAGGGCCAGGCGGTACGTAACTTCCAGCGTTGGTTCTGTCCGACCACTTTTGCGAGGCTTTTAGAAAAAGAAGCATGCGCAGCCCGGCAGTTACAGGAACGACCCTGAACATCGCACCGTCCGAATTGTTCGTGGTTTTGTCAGCAGGACGTTTCACGAATCCGTGAATTTCTGAATCGTTCTACGCCGCGTGTCTTCTCAGGAATCGACGAAGGAAGTCTCGACGGGTAACGATATCTCGGAGGGCTCTGACGTGTTCTCCATTCCCAATGAATATTTCTGCTCGGGGAAATTTTACTTTGTCCGCCTCGGGAGATCCTTGGGACGCGGATTACTCCTGCTATATCTTCCTCTTTCCGTCTCCCTTTTTTTTTCTTTTAGTCTATCTTCTAGGCACCGGTATTAGCGAGCTTTTTCCCCGTGCTCCAGAGACTCGTTCAACAATCGATACTACGTTCTTTGATCCTCGAAAGACTTGGCCGGCCAGCGTTCGAGAACCTTGATCCAATCTTCGGAGAGTTGGCGGGTTTTTATCGCGACTCTATGATGTATGGTGGATCAAAAATGTATTTGTATGTCAAACAATACGGGAATGCGAGAATTTTTCTGTAGAGTGATTTTCCACGAAAGTGTGTTTTGGAGCATACATTGGATTTTAGGAAGTTTTGGAGGTTTAGAAAATTTGGGGCTCTGGAAGTTTTGGAATTTGGGGATTTGAGAATATGGAAACTTTGGGGATTTGATAATATGGGAATTTGATAATTTGAGAATTAGGGAGCCTAGTTGTTTGAGAATTTGGGGATTTAAGGATTTGGGAATTTGGGAATTTTGGAATTAGGGTTTTTGGGGATTTGGTGATTTGGAAATTTGGGAATTTGGGAATCTAGGGATTTGGGAATCAGGGAATCCTGGAATTTAGGAATCTAGGGATTTGTGAAATTGGTAATTTGGGAATTTGGGAATTTGGGGATTTGGGTATTTAAGGATTTGGTAATTTGAGAATTTGAGAATTTGGTAATTTGGTAATTTGGTAATTTGATAATTTGGTAATTTGGTAATTTAGTGATTTAGTAATTTGGTAATTTTTTATTTTGGTAATTTGGTAATTTGGTAATTTGAGAATTTGGAAATCTAGGGATTCCGAAATTTAAGAAGTTTGGGATTTCGAAACCTGGAAGTTTGGGGATTTGGGAACCTCAGAATTTGGTGATTAGAAATTTTAAAACTTGATAATATACGAATTAGATAATTTTAGAACTAGATAATTTGAGAATTTGGAAATTTGACAATTTGAAAATTTGGTAATTGGGGAATGTGACAATAAATTGGAAATTTTGTAACCTGGAAGTGCAGAATTTTGAAAATTTAAAAACTTGGAAAACTGAACATTTAGAAATCGAAAATATTAAAAACTCATTACACAATTTCACACTTTGTAAATTTGAAAATATAAAATGTTGAAAATAAGGAGTAATTAGTATTCTATGTTTTCCCTATACTGTCTCTGGACTTCCCTAGGCCCCTAGATATTCTTTAATCTCTCCAAAATCTCTTCCTAATTCTTACACAAAATTTTCATCAAACAAACATACTTTCGACGCCAATACCAAATCAACTCCATTACCAATAACATCAATTCATGCAAAACAACGAAATTTCACCTATCACGATATGTAACATGTTACAATTCCTAATTTCATTGACACCCATCAAATTTTGTTCGAAAACGAAGGATATACGAATGAATCTGAAATGCTATCCATATTGATAATACGAATGGTTCATTACTTGGTGACGTAACAGCGTGTAGCGTAACGGAAATGCGAAATATCGTGCATGAACCGCATATTCTGGCTTCGTTGTATATATACTCGACGGCACATCCATCATAGTATGAATATTTTACTTAGGCCGGCGCTAACGAGCGGGGCTTAACACCACAAATGCTGGTGAACACGTGAAGGCCGAGGGGGCCGGCACGTTTCATGCTTCATTATGCTTAACGACGATCATTTCGCTTCGTAGATCGATCGACAGAATGCTTTTTTACCAAATGATATCAGAACCGTCATTTATCTATCGAAATTTCAGCTTCGGGTCATACGAGATTCCGATGATGTTGATGGAATTTGTTAATTCGATGAGATCCCTATTTTCGATAAGGTTTGGTTGATAAGGTCTCTCGGAATGCTGTCTTCGAGAGTAAAAGCATTATGTAGAACAGAAAATGGTGCAGGATAAATAACTATCGTTATCTGAAATGACCCCTTTACCTGGTCGCATTACGGCTAGTCATTTAGATAACAGCATCTGCTATTTTTCAGCCACGAGGCACACAATTTTATTTGTACAGGCGCATTAACTTGCTGCGGTTCGATAAAGTGTTATTATTATAAATAAACGGCAGGTGGATTCGAATTTTCTGTAATCGCTCGCGTAATTGCACGGTTGTTACGAATAATTTATGAGATATCGCGAACAGATTTTTCTTAAAACATCTTTGCAAAGACGTTTGATCCTTTGTTGTTAATAGAAGAAAAACTGCAGTTGCATCGCTTTGGGACTGCAACGTAACTTCGTTTCTTTTTCATTAAAGGAATGGAAGTGTTCGTTGGAAAGTGGGATTAAAATTATTATTTCACAAAAGGATTTGTCAGTTGGAAAATCAGGATCAAATAATCAAGCTTTAACGATGCGTCTCGTCTTACTTTGATAAGAATTAACTCAGTTATTTTAATATACTTTAAGAATTAGCCGGATGAGTGTGTACTCGCCTCTCGACGGAATACTTTTCCCTTTAAAAATTATGTTTTTAGTTGCTTTCCGAGGAACTGCTAAAGCGTGTACGCTTATGAATGCAATTACTCGGGATTTTAAATTTGCAGAAATATTCTGAAGATTATTTCTTCAATTTCTGTGACGCATTTGTAATACTGCATTTTTAAAGAAATTCGATTTATGCATTATAGGACACAAAATTCCAAAACTTCAAGATTACTTAAGGAATAAATTTCTGAATTTGTAGATTTTCTGAGTTTTAAATTTGTAGATTAAGTTGCTAATTTTTTAAATGTACAGTGATAAAATTCATATTTAAAAAATCTTTTTCAACCACTTACCGTATCGCACTTGGTGGGACAAACACAGTTAGCTTCTCCTCCGCTGTCGCTCTTACACTCCGCATAGTAATCGCACTTCTTATTTTCGCAGCCATCTATAAACAAATTACAAACGATCATCGATTAACAATCTTATACGTTCTCCAACTCGAAATTACGCTTCATTTCCCGTAACACGAGCCTTCTGAGACAATTCAAAGGTAGATAATTGCGTTCGCGAGACTGCCAACAGAATAGGGCTATTCGTCATCGGGGTCCGAGAAGGCCGCTCAAAATCGTAGCCGAATCCTGCAATATCTCGCACTCCACTAATTCACCAGTCGCGGCTGAATTGTTTCGAACTCCTTCCGTTTCCGTAATTTCAGCCAGCAACACGCTTATAAACTGGCCGACCTCGTTCACCCTGTTGCAGTTCGGCAACACGCCTTTTGGCTGACGTTCAAACTAGTATTAACCCTTTCCGTACTATCGTCGACCATAGCCGACGACTATTAAATGCTCATATATGACCGGGAGTCGATTTCACTCCGTTAGGGTGAGATACCGTAGGTAAATGAACGATCTCATGTAATTTCACTTGTAGGTGCAATTTTCCAATTTTTGTAATTAGTTTATAAAACACTGTACGTATTTCCTACATACGTACATGTGTGTATTATGTATATACTACAAATAGGAAGATGTTGAAAGAAATTTCTATGTTTGGAAATTCGAAGATTTTCGGATTTGATAATAACGAAATAACTGCATTGAAAAATATCAGGTTGAAAGTTGGGAAATTGGTAAACTGATAAATTGTAAATTGGTAAATTGGGAAATTGGGAAATTTGTAAATTGATAAATTAGTAAATGGGGAAAATGGGAAATTGGGAAATTTGTAAATTGATAAATTGGTAAATGGGGAAAATGGGAATTTGGTAATTTGGTAATTTGGTAATTTGGTAAATTGGTAAATTGGTAATTTGGTAAATTGGTAAATTGGTAATTTGGTAAATTGGTAATTTGGTAAATTGGTAAATTGATAAATTGATAAATTGGTAAATTGGTAAATTGGTAAATTGGGAAATTAGGAAATTGGGAAATTGGTAAATTAGTAAATTTGGAAATTTCCTAATTTAGAAATCTGATTTGGAGAAGTCAGAAATTTCTTCAAATTCAGAAATTAGAAATTTGGTAATTTGCAAACCGTTATATCTAAATTTTCAAATTTCTTCTCCGAAACAGCTGAAAACCCCCGAAATTAAATCTCTAAACTTCCAAATTTCAAATTTGTGTCGAAACTTCACTTCGAAGATATCCAAATCAGGAAACGTGCAATAGCAAAAAAAGCGAAACCCGTAAATTCCTGAACTCGAACGTGCAACTTCTATCCAGTTAGCATTTCGATGTAACTAGGTCCACCGTGATCCCTCCCAATTTACGTAAATGGCTGCAGAACCGAAAGGTTAATAAAGATTGTCGTCCGGTATTTGCATAACTGCATGTATTTCAAGATGCAGGTTAGAGATTCAGTGGATCTTAGATCGAGGGATTACGAAGGAGAAACGATCGAGAGGGACTTGTGAACAGGGATGCAAACGAGAGCAACAAGAAGAGAACGGGTTGAAAGGGTTAACGGGGTAGAAGAGCGGAGGGTTGGATCGCTATCGGGACAAGATTCGAGCAAAGTTATCTTTGGAATTCATTGAAATCCGAGAGGTCGATGTGTCGATGACTGCAGTCTTGTTGGGTTATCTATAAACGGGAAAGCTGAAATTGTCTGTGAGACGAAGGTGAGAGAGTAGACGAAGGTGAGAGTAATAGGTGAGAGAGAATAGAGAAATAGCTGGATTTCTGTGCTCGTTCTGCAAGAATGTTTGCGATCCGTATACGAAGTCCAATTCGAGGCTGAAGGAAACGATAGGAGTGGGAGAGACAACGGCTTGCATGCATATGCATCGTACATGCCGTGGGGTAACAACTCATACAATTTCAGCAAGGGGCGAAGTCGCTGGCACCGTGATATGCATGGAATCGAATACCAACGGTACGTTTCAGAAGTTTCACGCGATTTTAAACCATGCAAATTATCTTGCGAGTAGAAGGAACCGGATCCTATGGAATTTATCATCTAACACGGTTCCGCATGGGTTTCGAAATTGGGAAATTGGTAAATTAGTAAATTTGGAAATTTCCTAATTTAGAAATCTGATTTGGAGAAGTCAGAAATTTCTTCAAATTCAGAAATTAGAAATTTGGTAATTTGCAAACCGTTATATCTAAATTTTCAAATTTCTTCTCCGAAACAGCTGAAAACCCCCGAAATTAAATCTCTAAACTTCCAAATTTCAAATTTGTGTCGAAACTTCACTTCGAAGATATCCAAATCAGGAAACGTGCAATAGCAAAAAAAGCGAAACCCGTAAATTCCTGAACTCGAACGTGCAACTTCTATCCAGTTAGCATTTCGATGTAACTAGGTCCACCGTGATCCCTCCCAATTTACGTAAATGGCTGCAGAACCGAAAGGTTAATAAAGATTGTCGTCCGGTATTTGCATAACTGCATGTATTTCAAGATGCAGGTTAGAGATTCAGTGGATCTTAGATCGAGGGATTACGAAGGAGAAACGATCGAGAGGGACTTGTGAACAGGGATGCAAACGAGAGCAACAAGAAGAGAACGGGTTGAAAGGGTTAACGGGGTAGAAGAGCGGAGGGTTGGATCGCTATCGGGACAAGATTCGAGCAAAGTTATCTTTGGAATTCATTGAAATCCGAGAGGTCGATGTGTCGATGACTGCAGTCTTGTTGGGTTATCTATAAACGGGAAAGCTGAAATTGTCTGTGAGACGAAGGTGAGAGAGTAGACGAAGGTGAGAGTAATAGGTGAGAGAGAATAGAGAAATAGCTGGATTTCTGTGCTCGTTCTGCAAGAATGTTTGCGATCCGTATACGAAGTCCAATTCGAGGCTGAAGGAAACGATAGGAGTGGGAGAGACAACGGCTTGCATGCATATGCATCGTACATGCCGTGGGGTAACAACTCATACAATTTCAGCAAGGGGCGAAGTCGCTGGCACCGTGATATGCATGGAATCGAATACCAACGGTACGTTTCAGAAGTTTCACGCGATTTTAAACCATGCAAATTATCTTGCGAGTAGAAGGAACCGGATCCTATGGAATTTATCATCTAACACGGTTCCGCATGGGTTTCTTTGATGGATTCGCTTGGAACGTGCTAGTTATTGGTTTCTCAGAATTTACCTACACAGCATGTCGGAAAAGTAAGTTTTTCAATGTTTTAACGACCCAGTACCAATTCTTCAATTTAACTTCTGAGCTTTCTCACACTTCAATTTTCTAATTCTTCGATAATTTTGTGAAGTATCTTCAAATCTAAAGTGCTGTGTTGCATAAAGACCCAGTTATCTAAAAGTACATTGCTGAACTCAATAATATGAAATTTTGACCTCCCCAAATATCATCGAAAAGGCGTATTTAATCAGTGAAATTTCTTGTTCATAATTTTAAGTCGGTCAATGGAAATTGATCATCCTTCGACTTCTTCGTTTCAGCCTGTCCCGTAATAAAGTTTCCTTAATTATTTACCCGGCACCGTTGCTCTAATTGTTCTGCCTCTCGCCGATCAATACTCAATCAACGGGTTTTGCGCGGAAAAATCTTAATCGACCAAATTTTAACGGCGAAACGATAGAACGAAATTACGAATGGACGAGCATTTCTAGAAAATGAAGAGGGAATTTAAATTACACCGCGAATGCATTTGAAACTGTTCTCAATTTAAGTAGACACATCGCTAATTCGAATTTTATCTCCATCCCGAACGGTGAATGAAATGAAATTACATAGATTGATTTCTCGATGAGCATTTACCTGTCTTCTCATTTAGTCGAATTTTTATATTCCTCGCTGTTACTCGGATACAATTCTTTATAAGAATTTACCAATTCATTTGCCAATCTTCATTAATGTATTTCTGAAGCACTTCATGCTTTTATTGAAAATGTTATCTTCATAGTTTAGAAAATTTCATGATTATTTTGCTTATTCTTTATAATTCTTTTAATACTTATGGAAATTGAATTTATTCGTTAATTATTTCTTTACTATAAACTCCAGAAGTTTTTACTATAATTCAAGTACCTTAGACTACAAAACTTAGAGTAAACATTATCAACGAATAATTATATTCTTCTAATAACTTATGAAACTTGTGAACAATTATTAGATATAGTAATTAGTAAGTTTCTTAGAAACTGTTGAATCTCCAATATATTTCCTGAGAGTAAGTCTAACAATTTCATCTTTTTGTACAAGACGAAAATTTTCTGAAAAGCGGAATAGTAAAAGAACGATCAAAAGCAACGAGAAGCGTTAATTCTTTCGCCCCCGTTGGTTGAGCAATTGCGAAGAAACGGCACTAAAGGTGAAACAGCCTGTACATAGATTTGGAGAGCGGTATGCAACGAAAATTCCGGAGAATTAAACGTCCCGGTTTCCGTGGGGAACGGTACTCACTGCAAAGTCCCTGATAAAGCACTCGGATCTCTCGTCGATGTTTACAACCCTCGAGGCGAAGCTTGCACTCGTTCCCGTAGCTGATGCCATCGTCTCCGCAAACTGGTTGAAATTCCGCCGGACAGGTTGGACATTCGCAAATCGCAGTGCCGCCCGTTTCAGCGCAAATCGCACCCCACTGACAGATCTGCGAAAGAAAATTCCTATCAATTCGACTTTTTCCCTTTCGTTTTTTCCCCCTCCCCGGGCCGTTTCCTTTGACGTTTTCGCTGGCGAACAGACGAGTCGACATTCACCCCTTTTTCTCACGGTAACAGCACGAAAAAACGTGAGATTAATCGCGGCGAATCGTCGTCCGCTTTTTTCCAAGTCTCGCCTTTCGGGACGACAGTGGACTCTTTGTCGTCGATTTTCTCGTCTATCCGCTCGCTTCCTCGCGCTCGTTCGACCAAAGCCGATAATTTATCGCCCGCGACATTTCATCCTGCCGCGCGCAATTTACGCGCTACTTTAATTCGAGGAATTTAATGTACATCGGGGAAGGAGGCGGTCCTCGAATAGCGCGGATGATTCTTCTTGTTCTCCATTGACGATGAACGAGCACGTTTTTCACCGAGAATATCGCGCCGAGAATCGTGCAGGCTGTCGCGAGAAGCCGACGAACAGAAAATGGAGGAACGCAAACGCTTCGTAACATTCAATTGTATCGAGTCATTGTGCGTATCAAATTTACACGGAGACACTCAGTGACTCATTTTTAAACTATTTATTATTTTACGTCCATTACTGAGTACTTTTTAGACATTCTAAAATGATGACCAACTGCTACAAGCATTATTTGCAACATAGAAGAAACTGAACATGAACTGTAATTAAGGTATCACCCTCAATGTATTATAAAACATTTAATTAGAAATTTAGCCAATATCTCTTTTGGTCCATATCTTCAAGATTGCACAAGAAGTATCTGTACTAAATCTTATAAAAATTTTGGAGAATTTTAGGTCATCTGACATACACAAATTGTTCCGTGACTCCACATAAACGAAATACAAAAATCGATATTCTTCGCGACTGTGCATAAAGATCAACATCAAACAATGCATATTGAACGATTTACTCCGGCCCTTAATTCCGGATTAACTGAAAATATTCAAGAGCCTGGTGTACTTGAACAAATGATCTTCAGGCTGATTCTATTCTCTTCGGTTAAACAATGCTCAACTTTACCGTTCCTTACGACCTACATTCGCTATCATGATTTTCGTCACGTCGCGTGTATTTGCTTGGCCGTTCAAACATTTGCCACCGTTCCTTTATCTTCCGCGTATGCGTCTCACACCTAGAGCATGGACTGACCTTCTCCGAGCATGGTCCCCTAGAGCCACAAGTTCCCGTGTAGGCGACCTCGATGTTGGTCTTCGTCAAACAGGCCTGTCTCTTCAGCTCGCACAACGATGTGTAGGTCTTTCCACCGCGTGCACACACGGGTCTCATCACGGGTTCACATTCTGGCCCACATTCGCAGCTAGCGATTCCTTGACGATTGATAACGCACTGCTCATATGGGCCGCACTTCGCCTCGTCGCATGGATTGATTCCTGCACAATGGTTATACATTTTCCCTTTTCATCGCTTCTGACATATTTCTATTTTTGTGTTACTGGAACAATAAGGCTGAACGTTTATTATTGTTGAAATGCTTTATTTTTGTAGCATTTAATATTCTAGAACTCAACAAATAATTTACTTATTTGAATAATTTCACGAAATTACCATATGCTGCAGACCGTACATATTTTCGAGGAATTTTAATATTGGAATTAAAATGATAACTCCGAAGGGCGTATTTATTGTGATCTGTCAGGATCACTTTATATCGATAAATATCAATAGTGATAATTTGTTCAAATGTGAGCGTTTGGAGATTATAAATTTCATTTTCTTTTTCCGTGTTTATTTTGCAAATATGACATAGCATTTCAGATATTACTGATACTGAATATCTCAATGACAGAATGATAACACAGAAATAAATTCTAACAAACTTTTAATATTCAAAATAAACGAAAATGTTGTTACTGTCCAATGAATTATTCAATTATTAGTCTAGTATAAATAAAATAACGATATCGAAAACCGAAGAGGTACACGTGAAAACTACCGAACGATATAAAAGTTAATACGAATGTTGCATATGTTCGTTTTGAGTAAATTGGACGAGTTAAAGTATCAAATTACCTGAGCTGCAGGCACCGTTATACACCTTCCTAAGCGATAATCTCGATCTGCAAGCTTCCTGCCTGAGGCTGCATTCATTCGAGTATGTTTTACCATCACTTCCGCAAACTGGTGCGAACTCAAGGCCGCACAGCTCACCGCAACGACAGCCTGGTTGCCTCGAGTCGTCCAGCTGACAGATTTCCGGTTCTGCGCACTTCACGTTACCGCAAGGATCTGGAAAATTAAATTGCGGTTCGTGCTGCATGAAATCACGTTCAACATGCATGCTAAAAATATCGTGTTTTATTAGATACTCGGAGCTATTGTCGATGCCTCTGTATCAGTATACGTATGAACTTTCTTCAACGTATATAAGATTTTACTACTAAAAAGTTCTTTTACTTATTTAAACAAAAAAATTACTGTTCAGTTTTAGCATATTCAGTTATCACATTCTTATGAGGTTCTGGTTGTATTTTTTTAAGTACAATATTAATGTATTCTTTTAAATTTGAAGAAGCTCTTATATTGACATTTTCAAGATGTAAGTTTATTTTAAAATAATAATGAAAATAATTGCTAATAATTAAGAATGATTAGATCGCAGTCAATAGTTCGAAAATGGAGTCGAAACAGTGGCACGAATTATTTCGAGGCAAACAGGTGTTCGTACATCCCCTAAGCCAGAGCTGACCGTGAAGGAAAAAATTTAAGTGGCTATAAAGACAAATTGTATTACAGGGAAGAAGGAAATTGCACCTTACTCTTAACTGTTCATAAATTATCGTTAGGAGGGGTCGAGGAAACGAAGCTGGTGTATACAAGGTACACCGGGAATATTTAGGTAGAGGGGATGTGCTTCGATTACAACTCTGGACGAGCCAGTAAAGTGGCGGCGGGCGAGGAAGAAACGAGGGTGGTTACGGAAGGGTCGAGTTTAGCCGCTCCACTGGGCTGTAACTCGAACTAACCCCGAGAAACACCACCGCCTCGAGAACTTGCCGCGTCAGCCCTGCTATAAGGTCGAAACCTACCGCCTACGGACAGGAAACGGAATCCAACTTCCTTCCTTGGTCGAGGGCGAAGATTAATCTCGGTGCAGCCATGCTTCTACCTGTGCCACGGTAACACCCTTCGACCTCCTTCTGTGCCCCGCTCGCGAAAGTCTCGGCCTTTTTCTATCTACTTCTATCAATCTGACTGCAAACTTTTTTCAAACCAAGATCCCATAAAAATCACCCTCGAGCGGTTTTTGACTCACTCGTAATTTGCTGGGAAACTCGATTATTATATTAACACTTGATAGGGGTTCTTTCCTGGCTTCTGAGCAATTTTTAAGACAAATTAATACTATTTATGGCTTCATGTATATTGGTAAAAGGTAATTATAAATCAGATTTGATGGTCTTCATGGATTATGGAGGTCATTTTGAATTTTTTCTTGTAACAATTGCTACTTGATTTCAGTCAGAAATATATGAAAAACCATTTTCTGGTTTATGTACATGATAATGTACATGAAATACTTGGTGATGACTGATCCTGGTGAGTTTGGAATGTTTTGTATAACCTCTGGTATTATTATATATTATGAATAATTATTATGAATCTAAATATTCATATTATGAATGTAAATTAAGTGACAAATTTTGATACAAACATGTTACAATGACATGTTATTATTTTCATTTTTACAGAATTACCTTGCTATAAGTTTTGTAACACCCTATATAACAGTACCATTAAAACATTTCCTACATCGAGAAAATTAATTTCTTATATTTCCAGAAGACATACGAATCCCAGTCGTGTTATCCTCCCAGGGAAAATGAGAATGGTATTAAAATAACATTGAATGTAAATTGTCCTCGACGAAAAAAGGGGAACAAACGTGATGGTAGGGGAAAATGGAAAAAGATCAGTACAGACTGGCGTCACTTGAAACCGTAAAATCCCTCGTAAATTGCTTTAAAGCCCTTCGATGGTGGACAGGGTGCGACGAGTCCTCGATTCTCACCCTGTTTCCAACCTCGGACGATTTCATCGAACAAAAGCCATCCGGACGAGCGATAAAAGGTGTGTTTAAAATTCCCGCGTTGCCGCGGGGCGATTGTTTTTTAAGTCCGTGGCTAAGAGCCACTAGAGTCTCGACCTTCTTTTCTCGCCCCCTTTAAACCACCCCCTCTTTTTTACCGGCTGTCACCAACGGCAACATCGAGCCCCGTCTAATCTTCCGAGTTACGCGAAACTTTTTCTTACCCTAGCCCCGCTACTCTTCCACGGTTTTTTTCATTCTTTCTTTCTCCATTGCTCGTTGTGTCCTCTCGCGCCCGCCTCGTTCATCTCGAGCCACACCGAGCGTATTTTGCATTCTCACGGAGAATAACTTTCTGAAAGGAATAATAAGCGACGGGGTGGAATAAGGAAGCGAGCTACGCCTCGCCGGGGTAAGTGGCGGATAAAGGGAACTGAATTGAGTTTGGTCAACGAATGGAAAGATCGTGAACTTCTCTACTCGTTCGCTTTACCCGGTTGCTTTCTTATTTTGCTCTCCGTTGTTATTCTCGGCGATTCGAACTTTTCACAGACGCGACAAACGTGTTCGTAAACGGTCCCCAAACGGTACCGAAAGACGATTTGATTTTCAATCAGGGATTTGAATACTTGGCTACGTTGCTTTCCTTTCGAGTAGAGCGAGTTTAGGGTCAGGTCTTCCATCATTTGTCACTCATTTTGACAGATATGGAGGCTTTCTTTAATTTGAAAATTGACAAATATTGAAATTTTCACATTTTTGTCTTAAAATTACTGTGTCACAGAATTCTTGTAAGTTTAGATTATAATATTTCTAGATTACTGCATGTTCCAAATTGTATATCTCCAACTATTCTATAAGTTCCTACGTCGATATGCTTATCACTGAATTTCTATATCTGCGAACTGTATAAAATAATTCTATAATATTCCACTCCCTTAATAATACTGATGTGCTACTACATTATTACCTCACTGTTTTGTTACATAAAAATACTATTTGTAATTTAAGATTTCTCAAGTAGAATTTTGACGAAAATATCTGATGGGACACCAAATTCCCAAGATCGGTTCCATTTAGCGTGTTCTTCTTGATCAAATCTAGCTGATGAAACGGTCCTGGTTTAATCGACGAATAGGAACGCGTTCAATTCGCACACGCCCGGAGTACACAGAGAATCGGGCATTGAAGAGCAGTCAGCGAATTACACAGTCGAATATCGTGTCTCTATGCGCGGATACCTCGGAGAGAATTAATTTAGTAGCGAGCATTGGATCAATTATAACGCGATATGTATACCTGAGAAGTGGTATTTGGTCGGACTACTTGAATAGTTAATTCAACGGGAAGTAAATTTTTGAACTGAAATTGTGGAATCTGTTAAATATACTTCAATGAATATTACATTGCAGTTTATTAATTCACTTAATGCGATAAAGGGAACGTGATGCAAAATTGTTGTTCGAAATATTGTTTGATGATTTTCTACTATTTTATAATTGAGATTGTTCAGTTTCCAGTTGAAAGGATAATTGGAGGTTAAGTCACTCTTTAGTTTATAATAAATAATTTCACTGGTTTCGCTTGGCAGGTACTTTACAAAATTAGTATTACATTAGCTGAGAATTTATTTTAATTCAGATATTTAATGGTATTAAATTTATTGAGCCGGTCGCAGGTGACCTCCATTGCATTCGATATTAATATTAGGATAACAGCAGGTGTAAATAACTGGTGTAAGCGTGCAATATTCAATTATATTTTGGCCCGACAAAATGACTGGATTTTGCTATTTTAACGAAATCAAAATTACCGTCGTCCAAAATCAAAATTGATGCACGAATTCCTACTAAGATTCGCAAATAATCTAGCGGCACAATATTTAATTTTATACTTCTTTTTCAATTCCATTTTTTGTATTGTTTTCTGATACGGAGTATAGTGTTCAATCTCTTAAATCAGAATTGGTAACGACACACAGCGTTCCAAGAAAAATTGCATGGTTTTTTTCTCGTCAATGGCATCTTAAAAGCAATTTCTATTTCACTTCCATGATAAAAGCATTTCTTACAACATCCTGCCTCGACGAATATCTACAGAAAGCAATTTCTACCTCCGGTTTCTAACAGAATATCCATAGGAGAATAACAAAACTGCGTGAATAATAGAACATGCACCTTGGATTTTGCAAAGAAATCATTTCCACGTTGTTGCTTCCTTCTCGATTTATATAACATGCAATCAGATTTTCCAAATCTTGCATAGTGTTTTCTCAACTCGGTATATAGGGACATGTAGATGTAGAAATAAGTATATGTATGGGATTATATCGTTGTGGGTATACATATGTATATTGAAGTATAGGTACATGTGTGGATATGTAGGAATACAGATAGGGCGATATAAGGAGATATACATATGTGGGAATATAGGGATATGGGAATGAGCATTTTGGAGATGTAGAAATATAGGGATATTGGGATCTAGGGGTATTGGGAGCTAGGAGTACTGGGAACTAGGAGTATTGTGATTTAGGAATATTGGGATCGAGGGGTATTGGAAATTAGGAGTATTGGAATCTAGGAATATTCGGAGCTAGGGATATTGGGAACTAGGAGTATTGGGATTTAGAGATATTCAGAGCTAGGGATATTGGGAACTAGGAGTATTGGGATTTAGGAATATTAGGATAGAGGAGTATTGGGAATTAGAGATATTGGGATTTAAAAGTATTCAGATGTAGGAGTATTGGGATTTAGGAGTAATGGGATCTAGGGATATTTGGAGTTAGGGATATTGGGAACTAGGGGTATTGGAATCTAAGGATACTTGGATTTAAAGATATTTGGATCTAGGGACATGTGATATAGAGAGGTATAGCTATCCAGAAAGCCTTGAATGTACGGGTACTCGGATCAAGGCATATTTGGATGTAGAAATTTTGAGATCTGGGTATATCAAAGTTTAAAAATGTCAAAATGGAAATATAGGAACATAAATGTCTAGTAATATAAAGATCCCGTAAACTGTATACATATGTATATGTATAGTAATATTATATATATGCATATCTCTATAAACACACATACATATATCGATACATGGATCTTAACAAACACCTTTCACTCCATCAACGTAAATTACACTACTCACAAATTACACACCAAACTTCAATAAAAAAATCGTCATACATCATCAG